ATTTGTTCATTTATCGCGAGTAATATCGATATCGCAATATTAAGCACTGTTATCGAATACCGCAGGTTTTCCTAATATCGTGCTGCCCTAATTGGAAATGTCCTTATTAGTGACTTGTGGAAGTGAAAAAGCCTAAAAATTATTTCCTACCAATTTCCATATCTTTTAATTGCAGTATTTTACTATTCATTTTAATGTTGCATGTCCTCTCGGCTCCTTTTCCTAGTATCCATCAGGTAGGCCGACACCTTTGCTCCGGTCTAACACCTAACTCAGAAACAAGGCCGCCTCGGTCCATCTGCATCAACAAGAGGTTTACAGATGATTTCAGACAGAATCCAGTGACCTCTAACTCCACCTGATGCACATATTTCATTTCATACAATGATGAGTGGAGACATCTAGTGAAACCCATCTGCACATAGCACATCAACACCATAAGCTTATAAATGATTAGATGTTGTGTTTGTGCCTCACACAAAATGTTTTCATGCATCCATGGTACACATGATCCCACCTACTGCACTATTAGCAGCTTGTCCACAAACACTTGACCAAATTAGTCCACCAATCTGCACAGAAGAATATTTCCTGCACAAAAAGCATTCTCCTTCCAAGCTGCTTTCTTAAGTGAGTGCTAATTTAGTTATGAGCAATGCTGTATGTTGTGCAATGTCTGACGCAGTGCTACAGTTTAGGATTCATCTCTGATTCAGACCTGCTCCATGTTACTTACTACAGAGCTGCCTAACAAATTGGTTTCCACTCTGAAATAACTGCACCAGCCTCACATCTGGGCTTGACAGTTACCCCAGGGGCAAAGTGACTCTATGAAGCAATCAAAACGGATTTTCTTGTTTCATATCCATTAGTTTAAAACAAATACCTTTGCTGCCTCCCTTTGATAGATGAGAACAAAGTTTAGGAGTTCCATCATTTTCACTCGGAACCAGTCCAGCTCTAAAAAGCCCACAGATTGTCCCTTTGCTTTGTCAGAATCAGAGAGTAAAAAAAGCTGTGAATGTAAAATTTTAAGGTGAATTTGAGCCAATGATGAATGGTTGCAGAGTTTAGACCTGTTGTTCCACCTCAGGTAGTGTTTTGTTTTCATTTAATTTGTTTTAATATTTGTAATTATTGCTCAAAATGTATGTTTATTTGTATGTTTTTTTTATTCATGGGGTTATTATAATGCAAAAAATAACACAAATTGAGGTTAAATGTTTGTATTTAACAATCAGGTGTCACACAGGCACAAATCCAGCCCTCACAGAAGAATGAGGTTATCGTGGGATTGATCTCTGAAAACAAATGATTTATTTTACACAAATGATCCTATTAGTGCAAAGACAAGTAAATAAATGAAATCCCCCTTTTACTTTTAACGTGTCTAAAAATTATTACATGTAATGTGAATAATGTTGCAACAAAAGCAACACATAGCATCCAGAATGAAACAAATAAACTCATCATCACATTTTCTGGTGATATAATTTGTCCAGTGCAACAGAAAAAAAGGCTTACCTAAATTATGCATGCGGTGAACCAGTGACCTGCTCCAGCCCTGCTACCAGGCAACGTGTTGAACATGATCAGACCTGTGCAATATAATAGTCCGTAATTTAAACTGAGATTAAAATTATCACAACGTATCAAGTCACGGTCCATCTCAGAGCAGGGTGGTAATCCAGGGTAATCCACGCATACACCGTCCGTCCAGTCAAGACTCTCATGGCTGGTACCTGCTCGGACTCCTTGATGTGATCCCTGGAGCTTCGCGAGCCGCAGTAAAACCTGTCGACGATGAGTCTAGACGGCTGTTGTTGATTAAAGATGATGAAGATTTAAACGAGCGCACGCGCGCACCCTACAAAAGGACACGCGTATTTTGCGTACCTGTTCCAGGAGTATCCGCCGTGGCCGCCCGCAGGACAGGTGAAATAACACTTTACACAATCTAACCTCAGCTCAGGCCGACCTGCAGCTGGCGCGTACCTCGTCTCTGATTGGCTGACAGCGGCGTCACTCACGAGGCTGGCGTCTGGTGGCTGTGGGCGCGTACAGCATAAACACGCTAAAAACAACCAGAATATAATTAATGTAGGCGATTTAATTGGTTTAATCTGATAACAGGTCGTCACAAGATGCTGTGACGTGCTGGGGGTGATTAGGAAGAAGTTCCCAGAATGCTTTGCACTAAGTGATGATGTGAAACGATCTCGTGACTTTGTGATGATTTCTTTCCGTTGTGATATTTTCATTTGTCTCTTAAACATGTAAATTCTTGAGTTAAATTTAATAAAGTCATTGCTATAAATCTGACCCTAAGTGATAATAATGTCAGGAATAAAAGTTGTATTATTTGATGACACAGATAATAAATTAATACTCGTTTATTTTTGTTTGTTTTTTGTTGTTTGTTTGTTTGTTTGTTTAGATCATTTATTTTGGTCGCTAGAAATCTATTTTAATCAACTATTTGCCCCTCTCCAGTGTTCTATGGATATTATAGTTTTTGAGGAAAAAAAAACTTTTATTGCAAAGGAGACATATTTTTATTGACTGCTGCAAAAAGGCAAGTGCCTGTGTGATTGCCTGTGTGTTTTTATATCAACATATCTCATGAACCACCAGATGGATTTTAATATAACTTCTTAAAGTACATACTGTTCATCTACAGCTGAGTAACTTTTTGAGTCAGTCCAGTTAAACATGGCACCACAGTTAATAGGCAATAGCAAACACAACATAATGTTCTAACCAATCATACAAGATCTAGCAACAACGGTTCTCAAGGTTGGGGTCGTGACCTCACTTTGGGTCACCAACAAGTACACATGTGGGTCCTGAGATAATTTTCAAAAATCAAAATAAAATTGGAAAAAAAATTGCTGAAGCTGTGTTTCCAGCATATTTGTTACAAAAACTCAAATACATTGTCATAAATGGTTATAAGTGAACATGAGATGAAGCGCTTTACTTTATTATTTGGACATAGTTTGTTTTGTCTAATTGGAGACAAATGGGGTCACATGTCTAGACATTTTTTTTATTTTGTGGCTCTGAAGTTGACATGTTTAAGAACATTTGCAAGGCATGAGTTGCATAAGATAATTTTATTTAAAGCAAGGCAAAGCTTTAAATAAAATCAACAGTTGCTGGTTTCCTATAGTGTCCCTAAAGGGCATGACTCAAGGGCGTCAGTTTGTTTTCAGAATTGCTGGGGACAATAGCCATACACTTGAGTGGGGCTTAAAAATTGCTGGGGACAATAAAGTAGGCTAGCACAGGGGTCGGCAACCCGCGGCTCTGGAGCCGCATGCGGCTCTCGGTGCTTGTAAAATAATGAATGGATATTTAAATAAAATGCTTTATATTTTACTGCATTAATTTTACATCTGCCAATTCTAAATGTAAAGATTGTCTGCGTAAACCTGAACAGGTCCAACCCGGTCTGTGAGACCGGGTTGACGCGTCACGCTTGTGCGTAATCATGCGCTTCTGAGCTGCTTTCCGACCTTCCCCACCTACAAAGTTTAATTACAACAATCAAACGTGACAGAGCCTGGATTTGTATTCTGAACAGTCTAAACATGTTTTAAAAAGAAACGTATGACAAAAGTGGCACCTGCTCAGTAAAACCACCAATAGGGTGAATATTGAAGGCAGAGACTGGCTACAGCTTCTGGATCCACTTTATTTAATCGTTTTATTGATTATCTTTTTATGAAAGATAACTTTGACGTACACGAGCGACCAGGCGCGTTGCAAGCTTTTCAAAAGTGTGGGGGATGTTGTCTGTGCCTAAAATAATTTCATGTTATTCATCCTGTTAGTTTAATTTCCATAATAGCGGAGCAGGTACGAATTTTAGACGCGTCACGCACGTCTCCGTTTTAAACATGTTATAAACTGTTCAGAATACAAATCCAGGCTCTGTCTCGTTAGATTGGTGTAACTAAAGTTTGTACTGAATGAAACTTTACATTAAACCATGTTGAAAAGAAAAGGATCCCATTAAATCGTTTCCCCCTCATTTACAGTCACGGACTACAGCGCAGTGCGCGTGGCTCTGGGGTTAATCAAGTTTAATTGTTTCTCGTTGCAACAATCTTCACAAGAAGGCAAAACAGTTAAATGGCAGGTTACAGATATTTCCATTTGACTGTTTATTTTGACGGATAAACTCAAGGATGTTGGTTGATTTCCTCCCACTGAAGCGGTCTTTTGCATGTCCCCGGCGTCCCCGGTTAAAATGACGCTGACTTCATCTTTGGTACTTTCTTTCTGTGTTTGACTTCAAATTCCATTTTTGGTTCTTTTGAAAACACAAGTTTCTCTTTACCTTGCTGACAGTTTTGTTTGCCAACTGCAAAACACCCTCAGAGCTGACACTGTGAGGGTGTTTTGAAAGAGAAACCTTTCCTGTGTTTTAAAAAGAACCAAAAATGGAATTGGGGTCTGACTTCATTTTTTTTTTACCTCACCTCTCTGATTCTGGCTCAAGTTGAACAATGCTGCCATCTGCTGCCAAACATGAGAACAGCAGATATAACTCTCATGCGTCGGTGTGGAACAGCCCTCAGCTCAAGACTGTTTGTTACTGTAACACTTTTATTACTCTGTTTGAACTTGAACAGCTGCAAAAGGCTGTAAGTTTAATAAATCTGAAATATTTTGTTAAATGCAAAATGGCAAAATATACTGCAAAATAAAAAATATCAGATTAAGAATATTCACTAGAAAAATAATTAACAAATTTTATATTTTTTATTAATTATTATATTTTCAGTAATTGTTTGACTATTTTTCTGTTTTCTTGTTTTTCTGTTTTTAAACGTTGTTTTATTTTTTACTTCTAACGTTTATTCTTTGCAGCAATAATTTAAATATGTCACACCAGAGTCCCCACAAGTACAAACATTTTGCTTATCAAATTTTAAAATCTTATGAGAGTGCACAACAATGTAGTTTTGTTTTGTTTTTACAATTTATTGATGATTAAATTGATTTTTCATGACGCTTTGGTACTTATACCTTTATTTCTCATTGTCTAGATAAATTTAAAGACCAAACTGAAAGCAAATGCATGCTGAGTTGTCTGCAGGACCAACGGGGACCCCGTAGAAATGATGAGTCAGTATGGATTCCTGTGTGAGTGCACGTGCTGATTCACAGCAGGCTGCAAATACTTTACAAAACAGGCTTTGCACAAAATGTCAATGCGTTGCACAGAAGTTGCAATGTGCGGTCTTACCGTGTGGTGGCGCTCTTACTGTTTCCTCCTGAACAGAGGCGGTCTGGGTATATAACCGCGAGGTCGGTGCATTCATTTGGATCTGAAACTGGCAGCGCAGCGCATGAAATCCCCAGTGATGCGATGCCAAAGCGTCTTTTCCGACTCCGGGAGAGCTCTGTTTGATCCAGAGGAACTTCTTCAACTCCTCACCATCACTTGATGATAATCCAACCTCTCTCATCTCTGCTTTTTGGGCCCCGCGCGCTCAAAGTTTGATTTATTTTTCTCTCTTTTGCAAAAGTAGAGATGAACACCACCGGGTTGAACCAGACAGAGAGTGGACTGTTTAACAAGACGGAAGAGTTTTTCTGCTGCAACTTCTCCTCCGTGGTGACTGACAACGGCTTTGTTGCCGCGGCACCGGATGAGAGGAGCCTCTTCATCATGAGGGTGGTCCAGATCGCCGTCATGTGCGTCCTGTCCCTCACGGTGGTGTTTGGCATCTTCTTCTTGGGCTGCAACCTGCTCATAAAGTCAGAGGGGATGATCAACTTTTTGGTTATGGACAGGAGACCCTCAAAAGAAACGGAGACAGTGATTGTTGGAGCCTACTGAGGGATGGGGACGCTTATTTTCGGTACAGATGAAGAGCGCACGGTGATCAACAACCAAGGAAGCCCTGCTTTCACGTTTAGACATTTTATAAAAATAAAAAGCACTTAAAGGTGGATGGACCCTGACTGGGGCTAGAAGTGTTCACTTATGCTTTCGTGGCCTTTTTAAACAAAGACATCCTTTGGTCTGCAGGAGGTAAAGCGCGTTTATTCAGACGCGTCATTTAAAATAGTTGCATCGTTTGTTAAGCAGCAGCTGGTGGGGAATGTGGTTGACTGGCTGCTTTCTGCGCCCTTCTGCACCTCTAATAAAGGTGGAATATGTATTTTTGCCATTCAATAATGATTTATTGTAAAAATGACCAAATCCATTCTTCCTTCTTTAAATAAATAATTTCATTCTGTAATTAAAACAATGTGGGTCCCTTTTTCGCAAAGTGTTTGAAATATGAGGAACAAGGATGATGATAATGACAAAAAAGGCATTTTTGTGAAAGTGTGAGGCTATTCTAACAGTGGTGCCACCAAAGAATTTCATGGGGGGCCAGTGAATATCTTGGGGTGGCACACCACATTTGTCCCTGTGGTAACTCTGGGTAAAGTTTAGTCTGCTGCTGTGCGCTGAAGGCCTATGCATCCAACACATTTACCAAATCTCCCTAAATCATTGACCTCAAATTTGAGAAATTTAAACGCTTCAGAAAAAAGACAAAATTCCACAAATTTATTTCAGAAAAAATAAAAAAGAAAGTTGTGTACTTGCTTTAACATTTATGTTAATAAACTGAATGTATGAGTATTGAGGAACATGAATTACATTTATTATGGGGCTAGCGGGCTTGTCTTCCCTGGAGGGGGCAGTGAGGTGGCCATTGTCCCCCTGAGCACTTCTTGGGGTTGCCACTGATTACTAAACTTGTAAGAATGTTCTTGCTTTTTAATAACAATATGTCATATCAGACTGCGCGGGTTTGTTTAAATCAAAATGGTAAAAAAAAAAAAGTCCAAAAAAAAAATGAAACATCTTTGTCATTATTTTCATCTCCTTGTGTCACATTGTGATGCAGCATCTCACATCCTTCCTCCTTCTGTCAAAACATCTGTCTGCCTCTGGCTCACCTGTTTGCCAGCTCCCCTGGAGCTTCAGAAATCACCTGCCCTGTCAATGCAGAGAGGAAGAGGAAGACGAAGAAGCCATGGGCAATATGCTGCTGCCTCGCTGGCCACCTGTGCTTTGCTCAAAGTTAAACAAAATCAGTCTCCTAGCTGTCCTTCGCCCGGCTCTCCTCCTGAGCCGTCTGCTGGACAAAAGGTCATTCTCTCCCATTACAGATGTCCACAAGCATGACAGGAAAAGTATGGACAAGACTTCTGAACCACAACAGATGTCATTGGAGGAACATGTTTAAAAAGACAGATGGTGAAATTGTGAATTGTTAGTTAGTTGCTTAGACTGCCACATTTTTAGGGCAGAAACGATCTGTTATAACTATAATTACATATGAAAAAGAAAAATGCAATCAAGGGCGGCATGCCTGATTTTTAGTTGACTGGAACCAAAAACATTAGAAAAGTTGCACTCAGCTACAATATTCTGCAAGATGTAATGGAGTACAGTTCACAAAACCACAGCATTATACAAAATAAAATGGTCAAAAAGAAAAAGAAAAAGTCTTAAGGTCCAAAAATTTCTCCTCAAACATTTATGACAGAAAGATTTTGGACACATTAAATCATCTTCAGCTTCTTTTGTGAAATAAAGTTCAAAAAAGTGAATTTTACACTGAATACATTTGCTGAAGCTTGCACTTTCATGCCATCACATATATGATTTAGTCGTCATACCATGAAGTAGAATGCTCTCAGGCAGGAAATGCTCAGACTGAGTAACTTGTGTTATGTTAATAACTGTTATTAAGGCTTTTATTCAGACACGAGAAGTAAAATACTTAGTTTAAATCTACAGAACATGACATTTTAAAATAGCTCTAATTTTGTTAACATTTTTTGTTAATTAACTTGCGTCTGTTTTTTTTTTCAGTTTGTCATTTTAGGATGAATTGGGTCAGTGTAGCATATCTCACAGCAGAGCTTTTTCTCTTTTTTGCGTGATAGCTTTGATTGGCAAGAGCTGAGTGTTGTCTGCAGGAAGACATTACAGCTGTTAAAAACCAGCTGAGAGCAATCTTCAGACTGAAATCGACCGCTCATCCCTCAGCTCCTAATGCACAAATACTCTCACTGAATTCTGGTTGAAGTCAAAGGATTGTTTTTTTTTTTTAAATCATTGCGTTTTCAATTATTATTTGATCTGAACGCTTTAATTGCAGGATTTAGTGCTGTGAACAGCGGTCCTGAAATGGGCTATGGCTGTAACTCTGTAGCGAGGTCATTAAAAATATATTGTTCAAACACCTGATGTCATCAAATAATCTCATGTTTTTTCCCAAATGCAGGAAGTGCTATGGGTCAAGCAAAGAAAAAGAAAATCACTGTTCTCAATATCACCATGCAGCAGCAGTCAGGTAAGATAAGTAAAGAGGAGTAAGGAGCAGGGCGATGCAGCGCTGGCTGGCTTTGTAAGTGGACTGTGTTCAACCATGACAGCATCTGTGGGGTGTTGATTGTGGGCTAAAACGAGCGTCAGGTCGGGCTGCTATGTGATTGGTTAGTGAGCAAAGATCCAGTCAATGAACTGCATTTGGGACTAAAAGCTCCAAAGAGCATCAAGGCTGCTGCCTTTCTCTCTCTTGTTCATTCACAGAGCTTCAAATGGCCCTGAGTTCTGCTTCTAAAAATGTCCTTTCAGTTCTTTACATGAAGAATCTGTCCAAAGCAATCAAGTATGGAGCTCTTAGTACCAGTGGCACCCCAGGGTGGCCGGGGGGGGGGGGGGGGGGGGGGGGCATGGCCACCGCTAGAAAATTGCTGGCCACCCAACTGACTTAACCCCCATCTCTTAGTAAATCATATTCATATTCGTACAAACCATAAATCCAACCTCTTCAACCAAAACAAGTAGTAAACCTTATACAAATTTATAATTAATGAGTAAATAAATAAATCATAATTTTAAAAATGTAAATAAAGGTTAAAAAAATCATAATTTAAAAAATGTAGATAAAGGTTACTTTATTTGGCCATTTCTCTGATGAAATCAGTGAAATTACTGAAAAAAATGTATCTGTCTACAGGTAAACAGTCATCTGCTGTTGTTTAACACACACACACACACACACATACACACACAGTGACATTTTTCTAAGTGAGCACCAGCACTTATTCATTTCATCTTCAAGCACTGGTTTGATGCATGTTGTTTTTAAATGAAAATGGATGAATGGCCATGCATTGCACATGCCACAGGCAAAACTCTCCCAGAGTTATCCTAAGGACCGATTTGGTGGGCCATCACAACACTCTATCTGGCCCCCCATGACATTTTTCTGGGGGCACCACTGCTTACTGCATGTTTACTGAAACAAAATGACTTCGTTCCTACGAGAATGTGTGCAAGAAGGTGAGGTAAAACCTCTGCAGACTGGTTTCATTACATTTCGTTTCCAGCTCTTGTTATGGGATGAGTCATGGTTCTGTTGTACTGCTGATTGTTTCACTCCAAAAACATCACAGGGACTTAACATCTGAACAATGCTGGCTCCAATGCTTTAGTAGTGTGTGTGTGTGTGTGTGTGTGTGTGTGTGTGTGTGTGTGTGTGTGTGTGTGTGTAGTAGAGCCAAGAACCTGTTTCACTCTGAGAAAACTCATTTGTGCTGTGACAAAGACTGACCCCAATAATGTAAATCCTTTTGTATGGACAATTATTGCATGTACTCAGGAATTAGGGATATTCACAGTGAGCACAGTCACCGCTGCCACAAAATGCTCCCATAAAAAAGAAAAGCGACACAACCACCTTCTCAGTGGAGGCTGATGAATCTTAATCTGATCCTATTTTCCAAAACCATCGACATTTCAAAGCACAGCATCCATGATGACATAGGGGTGCATTAGTGCACATATGGGTCATTTCCTCTTCTGTGAACATAGTATCAATGATGGTAGCTTATGAGCAACATCAAGCTCAATGGTTCCAACTAGAATGACAGTTAAAACAGTGCTGAAATATTACAGCAATAAAATGTATGGGTCAGACTGTAATAAGAACTAGAAGAAGCAAAAGTTAAAGCTAAGACTCGTGAACCGGGTGAACAAACGAGAGTTTCACTTTCAAAACCTGAAAAGAGCCAGCTTGTCTGATGTTTTGGTCCGTTCCAGAAGAATGCGGCACAGAAAGTAAAAGCACACTCTGATCCTTTTCCCGTTGGTCTCTGGGATTTTTAAAAGACCAGTACCCTGAGATCTCAAAGCCGTGGAGGACTGATAAAAGGTCAGAAAGATATGCAGGTCCCATAGAACCATGAAGTCTTTTAAATTATTTTTTCCACATCCGTTTTCTGTATGGCTGCAGAAGCTTTCTGTTCAAATTAATGCTGCTTATGAAACAAAATTTGCAAATTGTTACAAATCTGCTTGTTTATCAAAAAATGTGCATGCAGCTTTCATCAAATGAAATACATTTTTCATGCAGAGCCACTGTTTATTCCCTTCAGTCACGCAGATGCATAATGGGTGTTCATTACTTCAAAATGGTGTGATGATTTGATATTGACTCTCCAATCCATTTCAATTCTTGTTTAAGTGCTTCAGGGTCTGTTGACCCTCTAATCAGACAGCTACATCAGCTCTACAACAGTCTCGTCTTCATAAGAGAGCCTTTGCTTTCGTTAATTTACGAGATAGGTGCAAATTAAATAAGGCAGATGCACTTAGCATGTTTTTGGGATATTTGTAACTTTTTAAAATTTCTGTTTTTTATTATCAATGTTATCTTGGGTATAGTCATGAAAAATGCACAGTAAATTTGTGTTTTAGTGTGTTTACATAACTGCTTCTCACCTGACCTTTATATGCATAGTTAAATAGATTTTCCAACATTGTGGGATACATGCATGGCCGGCTGTAGCATTTGTGGGGCCCAAAGAAGGTTTTTCTTTGGGGGACCTGCATACCAACAAGTAAGTGCCATGATTCATCATTCCTCTGCTACGCTATAGAGCTCCGGGAGTTGACGTCACTTCTCCCGGCATGCAACAGTTCAAATCGAAACGGCGCCATTAGGCAGGTAGAAGCCGGCAGCTAGACTATTTGTTATTGTCAGAAAACTCAATCAGACAGGAAATATGGTAGATTCCTGTTGTGCCCCAGGATGCAGAACAGACACGGACAACATAAGGAATGAGCCTTCTACAGGATTCCCCAAGATCCGGAGCGCCGCAAATGTTGGATCATTGTAATAAAACGCGCTAGTGACCGGGCTAAAATGAAACTGTGGGATCCCGAGAGTAAAGGTTTTTGTTTATGCAGCGACCACTTCATATCAGGTACTTAAACCAACGTTTCCTCAACTGTGTATGGTATTTATTTTAAATGCTTTTATTACGATTCTTAGTGGGCTTCCTAAACTTATTTTGGCGTGGCTTTTTCTGTCTTATTACTCATAGTAACAAGTAAACATCACGTAAAACGTTGCCTCGTGAGTTCTGCGTGCTGCCGTTTACGTGTTTTATGATCACAGCAATTAACCGGCTAAGCTGTATTTAATTTTTAAGCAACGGTTGATCAATTGTCAGATCACACATAAAAAGCACTTTGGATTGCTATTATCTGTCTCACCGAGACAGATCTCAGACAGATCCTGAGACGCTCCTGCCTGACATATTTATTTTATTCACGGGAAAAAAATCAAACTAGTGATTTCTCTTGGTGTTCAGTTTATACGTTCAAACAACACAGCACTCTATTTAAACTACTTACATGTAAATCTGTTATTTGTCCATCCATCCATCCATCCATCCATCCATCCATTTTCATCCGCTTATCCGGAGTCGGGTTACGCGGGCAGTAGCGTCGAGAGGCCCAGACTTCCCTCTCCCCAGCCGCCTGAGCCAGCTCCTCCGGGTAAATCCCAAGGGGTTCCCTGGCCAGGTCCAGTAAGAAGTCTGCTCCGACAGCTTCTGGCGTTTTTAAAAAGTATCCCAGGGGCACGGTAAGGGTCAGAGATGTTTAGTCTATTTAATTTCTGATTATATAAAACGATTTCTTCGGTTTTAAAGTGTGAAGTAAACTCCGACGAAGTAAAATCCAAGCCGATCCCGTTCAGTTCATGGTTAAGATCCGTGTTTGTTTAGCTTCTTTTACCTGCCAATATGGCGTCTACTAACTGAGAGTCACGTGGGGTCCGGAGCTCTATTTGTGTAACATACCCACTAGCATTAGCCTTTTTCTTAATTATCTTACATCATTCCTGTGTTATTATGGCATTGATTTTAATGGAATAGCAAACATACAAAAGGGCTCAATTTAATTTGCATTTTAAAATGTGAAGTATTATTTAAGTGTGGTATTTTAATTTGAATATTAGAAAGTAATATCAGCAGACAAAACAGGATTTACAGTGAACAAATTAAGTATACTGTCCTTTTTCCTTAAAACATGCTTTCACAAACAAATAAAACCAAATGACATTATAGAAAAAATATGTAGATCGTTATTCCATGAGTAATATCATTTAGTTTGTGTAATTTAAATATAATACAACATTTATTTTTTTGTTGTGCTATCTTGGTGCTCTTGGGGGCCCCCTGAGGATGTGGGGGCCCCAAAACAGTTGCTCAACCCACTCATGCCTTTTGACCGGCTCTGTATACATGGACTAAAGGTCATTCCATGTATTTAACCATCAAAAG